GCTAGTTCGTTTCGTTCGGTTCTGTTCGCCCGTCTTATCCGCGACTCAGCCAACCGTTCATTTTCTCTCGCAGCTAATTAATGAATTATTTCGAACCGCATTAATCACGCCCTCGTTTCGCCCGCGAAATAAGACACGGCCAGTCGGACGCGTCGACGCGTTCTCTTCACGCTAATTAGTCACCGTGCCACGCACGTACGCATCTCTTTCTGTTAATTAACAATTAATACTTCCGATCGGTGGCAACATTTTTTTCGGACCGGCCTGGTTTCCATTTTCGGCGGATAACAATATCTGCGACGGTAACATGACCGCAATTTTCGGTAGCCACTTTTCTCTGTTCATTTGTCGAACATGGTCCGCGTACGTAGGGATATGGAGACTAACGAATTTAGGAATCTAGGGACTTTTTGGATGTAGACATTTTTGGGGGGTTTAGGGATTTTTGGATCTGGGGATTTTTGGGTTTGAGAATTTTTGAATTTGGAAGTACTTGGATCTAGGGATTTCTGGGTTTAGGGATATTTGGATTTGGGGATTTTCGGAATTTTGAATTTTTGGAACTAGGGATTTTTGGAATTTTTGGAATTTTTGGATTTAGGGATTTTTGGAATTGGGAATTTTTGGATTTAGGGATTTTTGGATTTAGGGATATTTGGAATTTGGAATTTTTCGATCCAGGGATTTTTGGATTTAGTGATTTTTGGATTTGGGGATTTTTGGAATTGGGAATTTTTGGATGTAGGGATTTTTGGAATTGGGAATTTTTGGATTTGGGGATATTTGGAATTTGGAATTTTTGGATCTAGGGATTTTTGGAATTTGGAATTTTTGGATTTAGGGATTTTTGGAATTTGGAATTTTTGGAATTGGGAATTTTTGGATTTGGGGATATTTAGAATTTGGAATTTTTGGATCTAGGGATTCTTGGAATTTGGAATTTTTGGGTTTAGGGATTTTTGGAATTGGGAATTTTTGGATTTAGGGATTTTTGGATTTGGGGATATTTAGAATTTGGAATTTTTGGATCTAGGAATTTTTGGAATTTGGAATTTTTGGAATTTGGAATTTTTGGAATTTGGAATTTTTGGAATTTGGAATTTTTGGAATTTGGAATTTTTGGAATTTGGAATTTTTGGAATTTGGAATTTTTGGAATTTGGAATTTTTGGAATTTGGAATTTTTGGAATTTGGAATTTTTGGAATTTGGAATTTTTGGAATTTGGAATTTTTGGAATTTGGAATTTTTGGAATTTGGAATTTTTGGAATTTGGAATTTTTGGAATTTGGAATTTTTGGAATTTGGAATTTTTGGAATTTGGAATTTTTGGAATTTGGAATTTTTGGAATTTGGAATTTTTGGAATTTGGAATTTTTGGAATTTGGAATTTTTGGAATTTGGAATTTTTGGAATTTGGAATTTTTGGAATTTGGAATTTTTGGAATTTGGAATTTTTGGAATTTGGAATTTTTGGAATTTGGAATTTTTGGAATTTGGAATTTTTGGAATTTGGAATTTTTGGAATTTGGAATTTTTGGAATTTGGAATTTTTGGAATTTGGAATTTTTGGAATTTGGAATTTTTGGAATTGGGAATTTTTGGATTTAGGAATTTTTGTCTCTAGGGATTTTTGGATCTAGGAATTCTTGAGTTTGCGGATTTTTGGATTTAGAAATTCATGGATCTAGGGATTTTTATGTCCGCGAATTTTTGGATTTAGGAATTTATCGATCTAGGGATTTTAGAATTTGGGGATTTTTAGGGTCTATGGATTTTTGGATCCGGGGATATCTCCATCTAGGTATTTGGGAGTCTAGGGATTTTTGGATCTGCGATTTTTGTGGTCTAGAAACTTTCGTAGCCTATTGATTTTTGTATCTAGGAATTTTTAGATCTAGATGTTTTAAAATCCAGTAACATAATGGTATAGAAATTTTGAGATCTAGGAACCTAAGGATCTAGGAATTTTGTAGATTTACTAATTTTTATATCTAGAAATTTGTAAATCAAGACCTATCGCAGATCTAGGAATTCAAAAATCTAGGCTGTTTTATAAATCTAGAAATTTGAAGATCTAGGGATCTAGGTATTTAGGGAATTGTAGATCCAAGGACTCAAAAATCCATGAACACATAAATCTATAGTATAGTCACTTCTAAATCTCTACATTTAAAAATTTATAAGTTTGGAATTTCAATACTTGTCATTTCTTTAAAATTTGTCATTTTTCATATAATATCTTAGCTAAAATGTCAATGCATGATTCACCATGCATCATGCAGATATAACAGATTTTAATTAGCCCAAGATCCATGGCTCGTTCACAATGTTTTATCGTAGCTTTCTCAGTTGACCAGCTTTCCCCGTTCAAGAACGGTCAAACTATTCTTCTTCGTTAAGCAGTTAATAAGGTCCCGCCGTATGTTCGTTTGTTTTACGATCCGGGATCAAGTTCAGATTAATTAACCTTCTTATTCCGCTTTATCGTAATCAACGTTTACTCGCAACATTTCCTGAGGAAACCTTGCTCGCCAATAGGTATAAATAATAAATCTCGATTACAAACAATTCGTCCAAGTAATCGCGATTCCTTGCCAATAATACCAACGCAATTTGCCCGGAACAGTGTTACGAATTGCCGTTCTGATTAGATTACCTTCTCGTGTACCTAACCGCTTCTTTTTCGGGTCAAGTCACTTGACTTGTATTTAAGAGAAAATACACGAAAAAATATTTAACTGGATGTCATTTTTATGTGAAATTAGAAGTATAAGGTTAGGTTAGAAGTATAAGGTTAGTATTAGTATATTAGAGATAAAAGATAACTTTGATAAGCTACTTTTTTTGTTTTGACTTTGACGCGAGTTTGAATTTCCCGCCACTTCGTATACGTCATACATAAAACCGCGAATATTTAATATAATCGCGAAATCAAAGTGTGAACGTTTCTATTTATAAAAAGAAGGAAAATTATTAATTTAAGTTTCTATGAAAGAAGTAATATTGATGTAAATAACACAGCGTACAAATGGTTCGAAGTTTCTATATTCCTTTGGTTGGTTTTTAAACGCACGAGTGGGTGGATGCGTCTGACTACGATTGGTGTAGGTGTCAACCGTGGGTGTAGTTGCTCGCAGTTTGCCCTATCAGAATACTGCTCCAGAATTTGTGAAAACGAATACTTTTACCCACGCGTAATACGAACTTTGTTAGGTTTTACCATATTCGTTGTTTTAACTTTCTGATTGTTAAAAAAGATACACTCTTCAATTTTCGAATGAGAGCAAATAAATTTCAGTTTATTTCAATTTTTTTTTATATTACAAATTTCAGTCTTCAGTTTTCAATTTTTTTTTTTATATTACAAATTTCAATTTTGCTGTTTTTAATTTTTTTTCTTTAAAACAAATTTGAATTTTGCAGTTTTTAATTTTTTTTCTTTAAAACAAATTTCAATTTTCAGTTTTTAATTTTTTTATATGTAACAAATTTCAGTTTTCAGTTTTTAATTTTTTTTATATATAACAAAATTCAATTTTCAGTTTTCAATTTTTTAATGTATAACAAATTTCAATTTTGAGTTTGCAATTTTTTTCTATATAACAAATTGCAAATAGTAAAGTGATAAAACTGATAGACATTTAGAAACTTCTTTGATTAGTTAGATTTTAAAAATTTAATAACAGTCGTCAAAGTGTTAAGACGTTCGCTGATGTTTCCAGCATTGAAATCTCTCGAAAATGTGGCGCAGCGAGTGTTATTTTCGACGTACGTTCAAACGCGTTCAATTTTAATTTAAATAGATTTATACTTTTCCCTATCTCATAAAATAATTTTCACTTCGTTTTAAATCGATCGAAATATTTATTTTATTAGTTTATCATAACAACTCTGTGATTAGATTTGAATTTTACCGCCACTCGGTGTAGATCAAGATGGCGGCCGATCAAGATGGCGATCGATCAAGAACGCATACAAGATTTTCTATCTACAGAATTCCTCTCTTTCGCAAAAATAAAAAACACGAATAACTATTATTATTACAAGAATATTTACAAAAACAAAGTTATAAGTTTCACTTCGTTTTCAATCAATAAAAATGTCTCACTACTTTATTGTAATAATTCGTCTTTGATCGAACAGATTTGAATCTTACCGCCACTCGGTGTAGATCAAGATGGCGTCCGATCAAGATGGCGGCCAATTAAGAATGCATACAAGGTTTTCTATCTACAGAATTTCTCTCTTTCGTCAGAAATAAAAAACACGAATAACTATTATTATCATAATAATAGTTATAGAAACAAAATGACAAGTTTCCCTTCATTTCAAGTTAATAAAAATATCTCTTACTACTTTATTATAATAATTCGTCAGCGATTAAATTTAAATTTTACCGCCACCCAGTGTAGATCAAAAAATCAACTACTCAAAAGCGCCTACCAAAATTTTCAAAGAATAATCACCCCAATTTCTCCGTTTCCCAGAAAATATAAAACACGAATCGCACCTCGAACTCCCAAGAAACTATTCGTCGAAGTTCGCGAGAAAAAGTAGGAAGTAATCGAGCAACAAGTTTCGCAACACCGTCGCGAAACAATCGAAGAAACGAGTCTCTCGGAGCTAAAGAGCTTTCGTCGTCGAATTCCGCGGCAATAACTTCGACGCTTTGGCCAATAAAAAACTAACGAGAGAGTGAGGTGACTTTAATCATCGTTAAATCGACTCGCCGCGGCGACGTCGAATTATTTGCGGAAGGAGACGATCTATATCGTCGGGAACTCTATTCCCTCGATGTGTTTGACGAACACCTCCTTGCTAAGGTAAATTTGTTTTATTCCCCGTGTTTGAGGAACTTGATTTCACGAGGGAGGCGCGTGAATTTTCGTCGGGTTTCATAACTCGAATTATTTCAATATGAGAACATTTTTATTTTCCTGGCATCTCACGGCGATAAAGTATGATTTCGGCGAAAAAGCGTGCTCTTCGTTTCATTTACCTGAATCCTGTGCCTCCACGAGTCTCATAAATTCCGTGTTTCGATTCTACTCGGGACATAAATTTTCTCTCGATTACTCCCACGTGCTTTTTCTTCTTCTCCGTTTTCTTCCGCGTCGCACCACTTTTCCCAACGCGTATTTATGTCCTGAAAGTGTCCGCTCGCCGGCCACGATCCTCTTAAACGCTCACGAACCAACGTTTTACGATTCTCTCGTGTCCCGTTGCCAGACAAATGTTCCAACTTCGTTTCTACCTTTTTTTGCATTCGAATGATCATTTCTTAGCTCGTTACATGGTTTTCAAGCTTCTTGCAGCCGTGTTACAACTCTCGGATTTTAGACGACTTTCATTGTTACGTATTTACATTGTTTTTTTAATGACTGTTTAGCAAGATGAAATGTACGTTACAATGCGACAATGTACATTAGGAAAATACATAGATAATACATTTTTAGAATGAAGGTAACTAGATATTATATAATATCAAGGATATGGAATGTAATTATATATAGTTATACGTAGAACATAATATATAGTTATGTATAGAATAGAATAATATATAAGTAATATATAGAATATAATAATATATAATATATAAAATATAATAATATATAATATATAGAATATAATAATATATAATATTGTAGTATATTATTGTCCAACAATAATACCTTGTAGATATAATTTTGGTATGTATAATACATGTCTATGCAATATGTATTCTTTATGAGTATACAAAGTATTACGAAGATTGAAGAATCGTCCTCACTCGATTGCTTCCCAAAAATGCATATGCAGCTTTGGCCGCGACATCTCTCTCCGCTTTTGTCATCGAGATAAAAGAATTACCTGGCGATAATGAATGCCGCCCACTGTGCGAGCGCTGAATCGCGAAACGTAAACCAAACGTACAACAATTACGTGGCCATTCGTGCACTCAGAATGGGTATAATTGTTGACACGTCTTTCTGTCTCTCTCTCATTCACACATTTCAATGTCAACGACGCGATCAAGGATCGAGGATGATCGAATGTTGCATCGATGAATAATATTTGCCCGTTAAACATTCAGCCCAATTTCTTTATCGCTAATTTTAGCGACGGAGGACGCGGCGATTGGAGAGAGAAGGATAATTTCAGCGAGGACAGAGTCGAGCAAATTAATCGATTTATAGGAGGAATCGAACTGTCGAGAGCGACGCGTTTCGCGTAAATGCGTGCAACCGCGATATGCCGCGAATCCAAATGGATATGGAAATGTCCGGGACTTGTATGGCCATCGAATGCGGTTGCTTTTTAAAGCGAAGAAAAAGAAAACAAAACGAAACTAATCCTCTCGTGTTTCAATTTTCATTTAGCGAATGGCTGCTGGAATTTCATGGTTATTTCGATTTCTATTTATGCGATGCATTCGCGCTTCGAATTTAAAGTTTAGTACGGTGTTATAAGTATCAAGGTTACTTTTATTAATTGTGGAATTGATTTGTCAGATGAGTAGAAGGTGTGTTTAGGTATCTGAGGTTTTGTGTAGAGGTTTGATGATGTATTTAGGGTTGCAGAGGAATTTAGAGATGCAGAGGCTTAAGGATGAAGGTATATTCAAACATTATTTACTCATCTTACAACCATCAAGGTTACTTTTCTTAAGGGGGGCAGTACCTTTAGAATCTTAAAAAATTACAAAATTTTTTTTCTATAAAATGTTAGTGTAACATCTTAAAAATATTGTCTGAAAATTTTCAAGCGAAATACGAAGCCCTTTTGAAGTCATGGCCGACTAGCGCCGCGGGTATACACGCGTTCAGTGCGGAGGACTGAAACTTTAAACGCGTTTTTCTCAAAACTACGTTCTTAAAATTGCCGTGACTGATAACTCAAAAACTAGTTTATCGATCGCGCTCAAATTTTCTCCACATATCCATGACAATACTATCTAACATATGAACCTAAATGTACGAAATAAATTGAACATTAAAGTCCTTTTTATTGCAAACATTGCAAAAATTTTCAATAAAATTCAAAGTTTTTCTTTAAACGCCATTTCTTCAATTTTACATATTTTGCACGTTTCTGAGGTTCATCTACTAACTGTGAATGTTAGTTTTCGAAACGTTGTCTGCAAACTTGCCGAAACCAGTATATCTTCCGCTGGAACCCACGCCGATTCGCGAGACGCGCCAAAACACTTCCAGAAAGGATTGTCATAATTCCGGCATTTTGAAATATTTTGCAAAACAGAAAATATTCTGTAATAGGCAATAGTTATAATAAATTATAGCTGAAATTTCGAAAATGCAAAACAAAGGTGTCCTATAAGAAAAAAATTCACAAATGTCAGCTTATTTTCATCTGTCTAAAGGTATTGCTCCCCTTAACCTGTAATGGATTTGTCAGATGAGTAGAAGATGTGTTTAGGTATCTGAGGTTTCATGTACAGGTTTGATGATGTATTTAGGGTTGTAGGTATATAAAAATATATGAATTTGGAGATGCAGAGGTTTGAGAATGTAGGTTTTGCATGTATAGAAAAATGTAGCGATTTAATGATGTATATATTTAGTCTTGCAGATACACAGAAATATATGAAGAGGATGTAGATTTGACGTCTTTAACAGCACAACCCTCTCTAACTTACATAAGTTTTACACAAATATCAGCTTATTTTCATCTGTCTAAATTGCACGCCTCAAATCCCTGACTTGTAACTCTCTGCTCCTTAAGTCCTTAATACTTAAATCTCTGATCCATAAATTCCTGATCTGTATATCTCTGATCTCTAACTCCTCCATCTCTAAATTCCCAATCCCTAAATCCCTGATTCCTAAATCCTTGATCCTTAAATCCATAATTCCTGTATCCCCAAACTTTAACTTCCCGATCCCTAAATCTATGATCCCTTACTTCTTGATCCTTGATCCCTAAATCCCCAATCCCTAAATTTCCTATCCCTAAATCCGCGATCTCTAAATCCTTGATACCTAAATCCCCGATCCCTAAATTCTCAATTCCTAAATCCCCGATCTCTAAATCCTTGATACCTAAATCCTTGATACCTAAATCCCCGATCCCTAAATTCCTAATTCCTAAATCCCCGATCTCTAAATCCTTGATACCTAAATCCTTGATACCTAAATCCCCGATCTCTAAATCCTTGATACCTAAATCCCCGATCTCTAAATCCTTGATTCCTAAATCCCCGATCCCTAAATCCCCAATTCCTAAATCCCCGATCTCTAAATCCTTGATACCTAAATCCCCGATCTCTAAATTCCCGATTCCTAAATCCCCAATTCCTAAATTCCCAATCTCTAAATCCCCAATCCCCACATTCCTACCGCATAAATGCCCGCTCCCTAAATCCCGAATTCCCAAATATTCCCATTCCTCACGCTCCTCTATCCGAAACCTAAGAAAGCATCAGCGAACTATAATATTTCTAAACTTATAGTTAGACCGATTGAAAGAAGATACAACGCCCGTTCCAAGAGGGAGGTTCAAACGAATAGTTTCATCAACACTTACAAGTGTAATTGAACGGAATTGAAGGTGTCAGCTGTCGCGGAGTGACTGCATCGCTCCGTACGGTCAAAATTTAATTATCGATAAGCTGGAAAGCATCGGAATCGATGTCCACGCGTTTACGATTAAATTAGCGATAAGAACCGACGGGCGATCACGGCAATCGGTCAACAGGTTTTAGAAGCAGCGATTTTAATTAAACGGTTTTAATTAAACGATCGCGTGTATTAAAAACAGTTAAGAATCTTTTGTGATCGCGGATATTAATCCTTCTCTTTGTGGGACACGCGTTTGCTGACATGTTACGTCGCGAAATCCCCTTTCGCGCCGTCGACCCACTGCTCGATTTTCCAACGAGGTTTTCCACGATGAATTTCTCATCCCTCGTCATGCTCCTTTATCTTTCTGCCACTTTAATCCCCGCATCGAATCAAACGTCGAAGCAAAGCCGATCGAATGATCTTGCCTCGTTTCACGCTAACGCTGTTGCGGAGATAATCCTCCCGTTTTTCAATTTGGAAAATGCTTATTCTCGAGCTGGAAATTACCAAATTACTACGTCAAACACCTAACAATGCTGAGATCCCTAGCAACCCCAATCTCAAAATAACATATGAAATCCCTAGAAACTAGATCTTCGATTTTTCTAGAAATCTGAAATCGTCAAATCCTCGAAATCTCAAAATCCCTAGGAATATCCAAATCTCGAACTGAGTGCATGAAATCCCCCTAAATCCCTAGAAATTCTCTGAAATCCCTCTAAGTCCTTAGAAATCTCCCTAAATCCCCAAATGTCCCCAGAATCCCCAAAAACCCTCCGAAATCCCCAGAAATCCTCAGAAACCCCCCAAAATCCTCAACCTTGTCCCGAAAACCATAAATTTCGCGAATTTAAAAAATGTCCAAGTTTCCGAGCTATCCTCTCTGTTTTCACGAAACATCACGCGATCGATGATCGCATAATCAACGATATCGGCGCGATTCGACGCACGTTTCCGACGTCGCGACGCGCGCGAAGCAAATCGAATCGACGTTTCTATGGAACCAAACGCGTTATTTCGCATTTCGCGGCCATACGCGACGGTTTCGAACACTCGGACATATCGATATCTCGAACACGTTTGCGGCCGTTTTTGCGGCACGTTTCCGACACATTTTTGTCTGTTTTAACGGAATCGAGTATCCCCCTCGATCAGCTCCTCGAACAAACGTCATCCATTATCCTGGGATAACGAGATTCGACGACCGGAAGATTGAAACAAATATAGCGACGGTAACCCACGAGTTGGGGCGTGAAGAGACGTTTAGAAGAACACGCAAGAATTAGAAGAATTCGGAAGAGAAATAGTTAGAATCGAGGATATTCTGATCAATGAAATAAACCCAGTCGTGCGAAGGTAGCGTTCGCTTATGGCTGCACACGCATATGGACGATTTCGGTCAAATAGACAGCTCGATTTGGCAGACAGCCTCTCCGCCGTCGACGGAACGATAATTCCGATTGTATTTGAAAAACGGCAGCGTTCAACAATATTCCATTTACTTGCTCGTATTTCAATTCTATTGCTCGTGTTCGACCGTATGTTGCCTCCGCGCGCTATGTTGACGAACCGATGCCACGAGTCGAAGTCGGCGCGTCAAGAGGTGTTTAGAAGAGAAATTGCTCGGAATAGAAAAATCGCGCGTATTTTCGCCGGTGTAGGCACGATCGAGCGAAAGAAGACAGCAAACGTTTCGAGTAGCCACGTCGGAACGTCGCTCGGGACTGTTCTACGGTGCGTCCCTTAAACCTGGCCCCCACGCGCCAGGAACAGGGTCGTCCACGGTACATGCCGTAGTCGAGCCAGGAACGTGGCGGATCCAGGTTCGGACCCGATTGGTCAGAAGAGAAACGTCTAGACTCGCACGTATTTTCGGTGTCGGCTCGAATTAGGCGACGAGAGGCAGTCTCGATAGCGCGAACTACTGCAATTGTCATTATCTGCCGAAATGTAACGGGGTAGGCTTCTTTCGGGTCTCAACCGACATCTGTGTAGTCCGTATCTACTTATCTTTTGCTCACGTGTCGCGCAGCGTCTCCATTATGAGTCTCCTTTTGGGTCTCACCAACTCGTGGGTTGACGTCAGTAGATTGTGTCGTGTCTTCGCCCTCCGAGATTCGATCGAATCGATTCGTTTCCGCGTTCACGAAGGGCCGACGCCTCCGCTCGGAACACCGATACGCTCCGATTAAAAGGAATTATTCATAGATCAAAGAGGGAAAAAGTTAACGCTGGAGATTTGGGCTCGTTCCGCTCCATTATTCAACGAATCCGATCAATTTCCTCCACCCACGAATTAACTTCCTCTCATTTTCCGGGTATCGCGTTACGGAAGGTACATTTCGGATTAACCCGTTCGGTGCGGAACGACAAATTGTCGATACTTGCTAATCGTTCACTTGCGGTATCTATTACTTGCGAGGTGTGGAAGAAGTAGGTCATCTAACATTCCCTAGATACTGAAAATCTCTAGATCCCAAAATTTCAAGTGCTCTCTCTTGTGAGAAAAATAAAATACAATACAACACAGATCCTAAAATTCTTAGTTAATGAAATCACTAAAATCCGAAATCGTTAAACTCTAAATTTCCACCTCCAAAACCCCTAAAATTCCCCTTGAACAAATTCTGTAATTCCCAAAAATCCCCAAAAGAAAGTAAAGTGTACTATAAGTCACAATTAGGTTGTTTCTCGGAGCACATATAACGTCCACAATGTTCGAAGGGTTAATTGGCGAGCAGCACGGTTTCGGAACGCAGGGGAGAATGATTACAACTCCGTCTGAATCAATCGATAAGTATCTATTAACTCGTTCGGCGGTAGTTATCCGGAAAATCGGGAAATTTGTCAACGAACCGTTTAGAGGAGGATTCTACTCGATTATCCGTCGGTTGCTCGGAGCTCTTGGAAAGTTGAGAACTCGCGGCGAATCTAATTATCGCCTTCGTTACCCGTGCACGTCCCAAATTAGTTAGTCAATTTGCTCGAGTTATTCGAGACGGTATCGTACGATCTTTGACGCCGCGAATCGTCGAAAGGGTGGCCAAAACTTGCAAAGCTTGCTAATCCTCTCATTTTACGGTTTAATGGCTGCACGCATGTGTGACTAGGCCGCAAAAAATTCTGTAGACATTATTATAGATTTAAGAGAGTTTCGGAATATCGAAGGTACCATAGCAAAAGACCAAGGAACTTGTTCGTTTTACCCGGGCGGTTTGCGCATTGAGCCCGAGGTTGTAGCCATATTTTTTCGGTTCCACGTAGTTTGAAAAGTCGAGGCGATCTTGGGTTTATTACTGTGAGGGTAATTTGTAGGAGGCCGACGAGTGCCGGATGGGTGACCGTGCAACGGTTTGGGCCGGTGCACCACTGCCAGGGGAAACTGGGAACTCCCAATTTGGGGAAAGTCAGCCCTTTCCCACTCCTCGTTTTTCCCGCCCCAGTGTATCGGGAAGATGTATATATTTGTACGCGAGTCAACGCGCTTGGTCTTGCTATACTCGGAAGAAATAAAGTCACTCTAGTTATTTGTTAATTCGTTAAAATCGTTGTTCGGCCTTAATTTTGTCTCGCTCCGTTCCGATCCAAATTTAGTCTACGAAAGTGAAATTTTACGTAGTCGATGGCCTGCGGATACGGGAGTCCATCGAATACTTGATCGGTGGTTATACCATTTCGACACGATCAAATTGTTAAAGTACCGAAAAATTCAAGAGAAGAAAAATTGACACGTGTGCCGTTATGTGAACGAATATTGAAAGAAAACAGTATCCACGCCGAATTCCCTGAAATCCCAAAAGAGGGAAAAATAATCCAAGAAAGCCAGTGCGGAAGTTAATACATCGTTCGCTTTGTCGGGCTCGAAGAGTAATTCAAGGGGACGAAAATATCCGAGTTTATTGGCTGACCAATCTTCTTTGCGTTTTCACAAATGGGTCAATAATCCGTCCACGAGACGTCTAGTCGAATCCCGGCTGTCACGGTTTCTATGAAATGTCGCGGGGAAATAAAAGTTGGCCGGCGATCCTTTGGGAAATCGCTCGAGACAAATAACGACGGAAAAGGAAACGCGATTACTTGGCTGCTTATTCTTTTTCGGGGAAATCAATGCTTATTTGTTTTTCTTGGGAAATTCAGGAAAAATTTTTGATACCTCATGGTTGATATCGATTGTTTTCATCAATGAATTATTGGGGTGGTCAAAGAACTTGTTGCACAATATTGTAACTTGTAAGAATTTGTTGTACGACTGTTTGTTTTTAACGAGATATCTGACCAGATATCAAATAAGTTTATTTCACTGAAATTTATACGAAGTATTTGTATATTTCATCTACTTCAAAATTTTTTAAAATATATAAAATATGATAAAACTGTATATAAAATACAATTTTGAATTTTGAACCACATCGAAATAAACTCGTGAAAAATTCAGAAAAATCTCGACAAACAAGAGACTGTCCCTCGATAGTCATATTTTCCTTAGGGATCCCGATTTGTTTTACTATACCTCCGGTAGAGGGGAATTTTTCATTGCGGATTACAGCTGAAAGCCAGGAAGAGGATCAGAGGGAAAATCGGAGATGCCGTCGGCAACCGAAGATGAAACTCCACCAGGAAATCAGGAGCAATTACAAATATTTGTCAAGAACAAGCTAGAAAGCGATTAAAGAAAATAAGAGGAAAATTCGTCATAGTTAAAGTCACGTGTCAGACACATCAATACAGTGCAGAAATATACAAAAATAGTGCAGACTACTTCTGTGGTTTGACAATTTATGATAGGGAGGTACGGTCGTAAAGAGGCAGTCGACAATGGCCAGCGACTCGAAGTCGAACCACATCATCTTTATACAGGATGTCTCACAACTAGCGTAGGTCCCTGAAATGGGGGTAGCTGACGTAATTGTGGCGCACAGGGGTGGAACATCAGATACGGTTCGACGAACGTTGTATATGTTACAGTAAAACGTATACAGGGTGCCTCACAACTAGTGTCCCTGAAATGAGGGGGAGCCGATTCCGAATAAGATTTCCCTTTGCAAAAATGGGGTTTGAAGCTTCGTTTTTGAATTATTAAGGAAAACACGGAGCAATCAGAGCGCGAGGATTACGCGCGCAGACGCGGGAGCGAGAGCTTCGAGCCTGGCGGCTGCGCGCGCATCTCGCGCTCTGGTCCGCGTTTTTCCTTAATAATTCAAAAACGAAGCTTCAAACCCCATTTTTGCAAAGGGAAATCTTATTCGGAATCAGCTGCTCCTCATTTCTGGGACACTAGTTGTGAGACAGCCTGTATATTTGTTACTCCACTGTTGCAATACGTTTTATTGATCTTCTGTTTCGTAAATTAATCAGTTGGTAAAAGAAATTTTAGAAACGTGAAAAATACTGAAAAGTAGTGGTCCAGATGCACTTGTACGTATTTATAAATTGTACCGAAAGAGTTAAGTTCTATCGAAGTACCTTCTCAAAGAGTAAATTCACTTTTACCAATTACAGAGTTGAAAGTATCGTTTCGTTCGCTGTTTATAAATTTATCTTCAAATACTAACTAAATTTACCTTCAGACTGCATCTCAGAAAGTCTGAAAGAACCAGAAACGAAACCGTAGCTCCAATCGAGGAAAATGATTTACGCTTGTTTATCACAGAAAAGAGCGAATTAACAAGACGACAAAATGGAAGATCTACAAGATCTCAACCCTCCAGCAGTTTAAACACCCAGCTAAAGCTCTACGGCAATTAGACTCTAGTCTAATTAATTTTAATTGGCGTAAATATTAAATACTGAGAGATCGATGGAAACGAGCCTGTGCGTGGGTCGAAGTCAACTTCAAATTTTGTTAGAACTATTTTGATACGATGTTCTCCTTCGTTGCGCGTTTTTAAATATTTTAGAAGGATGTTTGATGAAGGAAAAATTGGAGAATTGGGGATTTGAGAAGTTGGGGATTTGAGAAGTTGGGGATTTGAGAAAT